GTGTCATTCTCTTTCAACTCAAAACCCTTTAGTGACGCTACTGTCTAAGGAATAATGTCCACATTTGTTAAAAGTGAGGCTCCCAGCTACCTACCTAATTTATTTCTCAGACTTGTGTCCCCCTTGTCACTAATGTATTCCATATTTTAGGCCAACAGAACCAGAAATGCAGAATAGCACTAGTGGAAAAGAATCTTAACCAAGAATCACATTTAGCCATGGCAAAAGCTGGTTCTATATCTCAGGCAAAATGTTTGTCCTCTCAAATCTTGGATTTCTCTTCTACAAAATAAAGAGGTTAAAACAGGCCAGTGCTTTAAAGCTTTTCTATTGGAAATCCACAGTACATGTGTACCCAGTATGCATATCCATACATAAATATAAGTACAGTTACAACTGGAACAAAAGTTGCACAAAATAATACTTACTCTTTCTAAATGTAATAAACTTTAACATTTTCTCTTCTCTTCCACTTTATTTCATTTTTAAAAATGCTCGTTGCTAACCACCAAATTGATTTCATGACCCACTAGTGGGTCAGAACCTGCAGACTGAAAAACACTGTGGTCCCTCTAACCCAAACTGACTCTGAGGTCCATGACTCTGGGGTCCTCTTCCTTGAGTACATCCCCTACTTCCCTATGCTGTACCTTTGCTGAAAACATTCCCTCTCCCTGTAATGTCTTCCCCTACTCCAGCCTCCTGAAATGTGGAGCTTCTTTTAAGGTCTGAAACCACTTAAAACCAGAAGATATCTTTTACTTCTTTGCACTTCTACAGTACTAGGTCTTATTTCTTGCTTGGCATTATTTGCAAATGTCCCGTAATAGTATCAGTATATATTTCTTATCTCTTATTTTTGGCTGTAAGTCCTTTGAGGGCAGGAATTATGTCTTCTGTGTCTTTTATCCTTCTAAGCATTTAGCACAGTGGCTGATATGTGAGAGTCACTCAAGCCTGAAAATCTATCTTTCCCACAGTTATTCCTTCTCCAGCTGTTCTTCTAATTAATCAACACCTCTAGTTCCTTGACCCTTACACTCTCTCCTTGGCTGTCAGCAATCTGCTTATCTTAACTTCCTTCCCTCAGAGGAGACTCAGTCTAGAAGCCACTGACCTCTCTCTCAACAAACTCCTCAACTGTCTTGCCCACCTGTCTTTTCCTCTCACACATTAGGCAAAATTCCAACTCTGAATCAACCCAAATGTCTACTTTCTCTGCTCCTCTATTTGCATTGCTAAGCACTACCATACAAAAAAAATTCCATGATCATGCAGATCATTTAATGGTCTTCACCTTCACCAGGGTCTTTAATGTACTACTGACATTCCTTCTTGGTTTTCCTAGTTAGTTCACCATCTCATTCTCTACACAGGTATTTAAAATTTTTTTTCACTCACCTTAACTCTTTGTCCTCAAACCTTCCTTTCCAAACCCTTGTGTCCAGGACTGGGTGAGGGCCCCTTACCATGTGTTCCCATCGTGTTCCTAGTTAACATAGCCATAGTCCTTAGCACTTTGCTTCTCACTGCCTATCTAAGTCCACATATCTTTCTGGACTTTAAGCTCATTGAAAATAAGAAACACAATATATTCATTATTGAAACCCCAGAACTTGATGTAGCACTAAGTACTCAACAAATATTTTTTGAATGAGTACACAAATAAATATTAGTTAAATGAATAAATACATCATATATAAATCTCATATGGTTATTTTGAGCCAATCAATTAATTAATGTCAATTAAGTCTTAGGTAATGAAAAGTATAAAATATAAATGGTTTATAAAATTTATAAAAGATGTAGAATTATAGCTAATTAAGAGTTTATTACTATTTCTATTCTAATGACTGGGAAATGGAAGTTAGTACCATATATATAATAGGATCTACAACAATAAGCAATGCAAATTTTATCATAGACCACAGTAGTCAGCCATGAAGAAGATACTTATTTCATGATGGCCTAGCTTCACTTCTTTCCTTTTAATACAATTCTTTATTTTATTTTTATTTTTATTTTTATTTTTTTTCTTTTTTGTCTTTTTTTGTGTCCGGCAACGGATCGCAACCCTCAGTGTCGTGCCCATACCG